CTTCAAATTTAGATCTAACGTCTATGAATGGGTTAGGCATTTTTAAGGTAATGCTATTCAATCTTCTATAATCAACAAATAATCTTACACCACCTGTTTTCTTTGGAATGAGAAATACTGGTGAAGTATAATATGAACTACTTTTTTTATAATATTAAGATTTAATAGTCTATCAATTTCTTCCTTTAAATGTTCCTTGTAGCACTATGGAACACATATGGGTTTGATTGAACTATTTTATCAGTTATCAAGTCAATCTTAAATAAATAACTACTTATAGAACCTAATTTTGGATTTTTCTTTTTATATTTTTCAACAATATTTTTAACCCCTGATTTTATATTATTTGATTGACTAAATGATTGACTAGTACTATTATACACTTTTTCCTTTAATATCTTATCAGGACTATCAACTGCCTCTTCTTTAACATATCCACACATTGGTATCATTTTTTCATTTATTACCAATACAGAATTTCCCACATCTATAGCTATTTTTTCTTTAACTAGAACATCTAGTCCAATAATTATCTGCTCACTTATATTACATACTGCTATTAATTTGCATTTAACTCTCTGACCATATTTACCTAATTGTAAATCTGCATCAACATATCCTTTTACTTTAATCTCACTCTCGTTTACTGCTACTAATTTACCTTTTATATCAGTTTCCTCCACATCTAATTCACATTCTAAAGCTACATCATATCTTATTAATGATACTCTTGAACCTGTATCAATCATCCCCTTATACATCTTATTTCTAATATAAATCTCTACTTTCATACTTTCATCACTATCGCCTTTACTTATGGCATTTATATAATTTTTATCTTCCATATTATCATTCGTTAGACAATCTTCAATTAACGAATCATCTTCTTCTATATCTACCTGTTTTATACCTCTACTATATTTTTATTATCATTTCCATTTGCATTTCTGTATTCATCAGTTTTTTTGTTTTTAATATTCCTATTATCCTTATATATTTTGTCATTAAATACTTTTTTCTCCTTCAATTTTGCTATATATAATGGGCTTTCAGTTTCTAGCCTTTCAATAACTTCCACAGCTCTGTATATGTCGTTTATATCATTAAATATTAATTTATCTCTTAAAACACCTGGCAGACCATTTTTAAAAATACTATAAACCTTATTGTTTGTAATCTTTGATTCTTCATTAGATACTAAATTCACCTCAGCCACTATTTTCCTTATATAATGTTCATAGTCACTTACCTTTTTACTATAAAAGTACTTAACTCTGTCTAATCTATCTCTCAAAATTTTTACTCTTGATGGAGTAATTAGCACGTCTGCTAAACACTGCATCGTATGCTCAGAATCTTCAAAAACTTCAGGAAGTTTATCGTTAATTCTTTCATCTATTAAAAGTGACAATATTTCCAGAAATTGACTTTCTTTCCACTTGCACATTTTCCTACCTTCAACTATTTGTCTTCTCCATTCCATGAATTCATATTTATAATCCCATTCTAACCTAAATAAGGAAATTGTTGGTTGCTCTTTTAATCCTTCAATTTTTACTGGAAAATTAAATCTTACTCTATCTCTCTCTTTCATCCTATCATACGGCCTTGAGCTCAAGTTGCCTTGTCTATCTTTAACATCTTTAAAATCTTTTAAACTATCACTTTGTTTAAACATAATTTATTTACTTAAATTTGCTTTTATACTTATTCTAAAACAATGTTTCATTTTTTGTTTCATTTACCATAACAGACCTAATTAAATTTATTAGAAACTAATAGCTTTAATGAAATTTTTATTAATACCCCGATTATTAATGAATTAGTATGATTTAAATTTTAGAAACAAAGATGAAAGAACTGAAACTAGTGATAAGATTAAAAATTACATAATAGAATAAAAGTAAAAAAGAATTAGAGTTTTGAATACTAAGAAATATCTTTTTTATAATTTATAAATAAACAGTATTTTATATTAAATTCTACAATTAAATCATTAAAAGAGTGATTATAATTGTTTTTTGTATGTTATCATGTCTAAATTAACAAAAATATATATTAAATTAGCTATTACTAAGTAAAAATTTTTATTAAATATATTTTAAATTTTTACTTATTATTTAATGAGATTTATAAACTTAATTATTTTATTAAATTAGTTTTAATGATAATTTGATTTTTTAAAAATTATAATACTTGTAAAGATTAATTTATATAATAAAAATAAAAAATATTATTTAATTAAATAGGTATAAAAATTCTCTTTCATTTATATAAAATTAGCTATAATAAACACTTTAAATAAAAAGTGTTTTAAATTATATACTTCTTATTAAATCAAATTAATAAGTATTTTATTATTAAAAAGTATAATTATGTTAAAAAGTTTTTATTAAAATCTATTATAATAAAAATGCATATAAATCATTACAAAAGTTAAACAAATGATTAATAAAGTAACAAATCTTCTAATAAAACTTCCACTTTTCCTAAAATCCATATTACTGATATTTTTATAAATCTTACTACTCTCCTTAGTTATATTACAAACATTATCAATTCTTTCATCCTGTATTAATAAATGTTCATTAATAGCTCTTTGAATTTTATCAATTTGCTTAATCTTTGTATTAGTTTCAACATAATCCTGACCTAATAATATTTTCTTGTTTTCTTGTTCAATATCTCTAAGTAACATCTCATCAATCTTATTGTGACTTTTTATTTCTTCTTCCTCAATAACAGGATCATAAGTTTCTTCCTTAAGATTAATTAAATCTATTTGTTTCTTTTTATTAAGTAATTGAATACATTCTAGTAATTTAACCTTAAGAATGTTTTTAATACCTTCAAATACATCTCTATGATCATCATCAACAGTAATATTATCTAATAATGTAACTTCATCTTGTAGTTTATTAATCTTATCCTCATACACAATAAAACTTCCATAGGAAGATGCTGCTTTTATCTGGTCTATTAGTTTATTAATCTGATCTAATAACTCCATGTAAAACTTATCCTTTTCACCACTAACTAATTTGTAGTTATCATCATTAATAAAGACAGAATACTCCTTCAATCTATTTCTAAACATTTTCATAAATAAATTTTAAAAATTTTAACCCATGAAATTAAGTTTAATAAACTTACTAGCAATTGGATGTACATTTGAAGAGGTGAGACCTAGATATGATTATTTAATGGAACAAGTTAAAGATTCATTAGAAAAAGTAAGTAATAACTCAAAAATAAAGATAAAAACAATAACTAATGAAGTTGTTAATAATTTAAAAAGAATATCTGTTAATAATTTAACTTTTATTTATAATCATTTAAAGTTTATTAATGAAAGATTATTAAAAATAGTTAATGAAAAATTAATTAATAATGAAAATTTAAAGAGTATTAAAAATAATATTAATAAGTATCTTTCAAAAACAAAAAGTATAAAATTTAATGATATAAAAGGATTTGTAAAATATTATCATGATAAGTTTATATTTGGTTATAGATATTTAAATTTGAAAATAGTTGCTAAATTTAAAGGAGTTGATATTAAATATAAAGAGTATTCATTAGAAGAATATTATAAAGAATTAAATAGATTAAAGAAAATATCAATAAATAGAAAAAATAAGAATGAAGAACTTTAAATAAATTTAAAAACTAACTAACTCTAAGTAATTTTTATTAAAAATATTTATTAAAGAAAAAACATTTAAAAAATTTAATGAGAGAAAAGAAATGTAAATTAACATTAGAAGATGAAGAAGAGTATATAACTAAAGTAATGAATAATAAAGATAGTGATATATTTTCTATTTATAATTCTAATAGTTTTAATGATAATGACTTAGATTTAAATTCAACAATAGAAAGTGAATCTTTAATAGAAGTAAATAGTAAGAATAATTCATCAGTAGAAATTGATAATGAAATAGAAGCAAGTATATTTGATAATGAAATAGGAGATTTAATATTAAAATCTAAAAATTTAAAAAAGGAATTTAATAGTTTAAAAGAAATGGACAGCAAAGAAGAAATACTTTCATTATCAGATAGTAACGATTATATAAATAAAGTAAATAATAAAGAGAATGAATCAATAATAGATAGATATTTAAATGAAACAAACAATATAATAAATAATGAAGAAGATATATTCAATAATATTAATAGAAGTTTAAGTTATTTAAAAGAAATAGAACCACCAAGAGATGTAGAAACTTGGTATTTGAGAAACGTATTTTCATTAAATAATTTTAGAGGACATCAAAAGGAAATTATAAAAAAGAGTTTAGAAGGAAATGATATATTTGTATTAATGCCTACAGGAGGTGGTAAATCATTATGTTTTCAATTACCTGCTTTAATTATGGATGGATTAACAGTTGTGGTTAGTCCTTTACTTTCTTTAATTCAAGATCAAATTAGTTCTTTATTAAATAAGAATATTCCAGCAGTTGCTATTAATAGTCATTGTACACCAGCAGAAAAGAACATCATAATGCATACACTAGTAAATACAGATATTATAAAGATTATATATGTAACACCAGAGTTATTAGGTACTAGCAGAAGATTTAAGAACATTTTAAAAAATTTGTATGAAAATAGAATGTTAAATAGATTTGTAATTGATGAGGCACATTGTGTCAGTCAGTGGGGACATGATTTTAGACCAGACTATTGTGAGTTGGGAATTTTAAAGAAAGATTATCCCAATACACCTGTAATAGCACTAACAGCAACAGCCACAAGTAAAGTAGAGTTAGACATAATTGAAGTACTTAAAATGAGAAACCCAATCATATTTAGACAATCATTTAATAGACCAAATCTTAAATATTATGTTTTACCTAAAAATAGGGAAACTAAAAATTCAATAGTAACATTTATAAATACTTATTACCCATCGAGTTCAGGAATAATTTATTGTACTTCTAAGAAGGATTGTGAGGAAATGTGTGAGAAGTTAAGTGAACATATGAAGGTTTCTTATTATCATGCAGGTTTATCTAAAAGGGAAAGAGTGTCAGTTCAAGATAATTTTAATAATAATGTAATACAGGTTGTAGTAGCAACAATAGCATTTGGAATGGGAATAGATAAACCAGATGTGAGATTTGTAATTCATTATTCAATACCAAAGTCACTTGAAGGATATTATCAAGAAACAGGAAGGGCTGGTAGAGACAGTTTAGAAAGTGTTTGTATTCTTTATTACTCGTATGGAGATACAAAGATAGTTAATTTTCTAATTGATAAGAATTATCAGGCAACAGCACAAGTAAGACAAAAACAACGGGATGAATTAAAAAAAGTAATTCAATATTGTGAAAATAAATCTGAATTTAGACGAACACAAGTATTAAGACATTTTAATGAAAATTTCGATCCTAAAGAATGTAAAAAAACATGTGATAATTGTGAGAAAACTGCTTTAACTATTAAAAAAGATTACACATCTGAAGCTAAATTAATAACTCAAATGGTGAGAGATGCAAATATGAGAAACCTTAAAATAAGCGTAAATCAGGCAGTGGATGCCTTCAGAGGGTCAAAAAATAAAAAATCACAAGAATTTCTCACTTGTAAAGGATTTGGTTGCGGAAAAAATTTAACAAAATCTCAAACAATGAGAATTTTCACTTATTTAATTTCTTTAGGAATTTTAGATGAAAAATCTGAAAAAGCAACAGGATCAAGATTTAGTCATAGTTATTTAAGAGCAAAGAATAGATATATTTCTAAAGTTGAGTTTGTGGAGGACAATACAATCATCCCAGGATTTAACATTAATAGTACGATTGTAAAAAATCTTAATAATCAAAGTGTGAGTGATTACTCAGATTTTTAAAATAAATTCTAAATCTAATTAACTTTTTAACTTTTATTTATAAAACTTTGT